CATGACTTTTGTGTAGCATTACACCCCTAATATCTACACTTTGTTGCCTGCTTCAATGTCCTGAAAATACCTTTATTCCTTTATTCCAATATGAGCTTCGTAAAGTCCTTGAGTCCGCTGTTTTTTTATATTCAACTTCATTATATTAATTTGTACATTTTATGTTTGAATGCAAATAAATATTGCACTTAAAAGTATCCATCTAAGGTGTAAATCCAGAGGGAAACTGCAGCAAATGCCACATGAATTGACTGTCAAACTGATCTGCAAGCAATTAACATAACAGCTCCATTCCTGACGAGGAACAGTTGTGTGATTTTGTTGCATGATGAATGGTGTAAACTGAGGAAGCATTTGAAAAGTAAGCTAGCAGAGGATGGTTTCGATCCATCGACCTCTGGGTTATGGGCCCAGCACGCTTCCGCTGCGCCACTCTGCTGCAAATCACCCCAGATGGGACTCGAACCCACAATCCCTGGCTTAGGAGGCCAGTGCCTTATCCATTAGGCCACTGGGGCTTCACAGGCTACAGAGTGACCTGTTCTGTTCACACTCAGTGAGCTACACTACGGAGCAACAATGCAGGGAGCTAAATGGCTGAGTTCAAAATACAACACTGTTTACATTTAATACAACACTGAAAGTTACCAAAGTTGCCAGTTGACTACCTCAGTATTGAGAAAATAAATTTAAAAAGTACGTCTTGTACATGTCTGAGCTTTTGTTACTTTTTTCCTGCTGTACCGAAACTGTACCGAACCGTGACCCCCACACCGAGGTACGTACCGAACCGTGACTTTTGTGTACCGTTACACATGTACCCATAAAGACACAGAGTAAAGGCCCTGGTTAGAGCACTTGCTGACCAGCATTATTAGTCTCTGATAAATACTAGTTGTTCCTTTTTTGCTATACAGAGCCTGCTGAGGCATTGACTGTGTTTTTGGCTGTGTCAGGAAGTGCACTGAAAAGCTCCAGTAAGCCTCAGGATCATGCTGTTTATTCAGTGAGAGACAGAGCAGAGAAAACAGGCACATCAGAGTTATATCAGCTTGTCTCCTCACATTATCATAAATTGTGATACCAAACTTATTAATAACTGTCACTCTACATCTCTCGTCCTCATCATCTTCCTGTGTTTAGTTGAAAAAACACTGTTTGTGGAAGTATTGGTTGTTGCTGCAGAAATACAGGGAAGTTTGTGAATTTATGCACCATCACAGTCTCATCCCTGTTTTATTCCTTTGTCTTTTATATCTACTAGCCTGCACAGGTAAGTCATAAACCAAGTCAAGGGGCTCCATTTTCGTGCCTCGGAGACGTGCCGCAGGCGCAGCGTAAGTCAGGTCCGCCGCGCCGACAAGGCGTTCCCAAGCACAATTTGGTATTTTGGTGAGCGGCGCAGCCTGGCGTAAGTATCCCCCCTCCCTAACTCAGCTCCTCCCAGCGGCATAAGTGGGAGGGAGGAGAGAGGGCATGGAGTGGGTTTAACACAGCCAAGACCTGTTTTCACCAATCACATAAGCTCCTCTCCTTGCCTTTAAATCCAAGTGTCACTGTAAGCGTTGGGCGTCCCCCACACTCTCTCATATGAGCGTGGGCACAGATCACAACATAAACTCCAAAAATGGCATTAAAATCGGAACCATCTGTGGGTAAATGACGCATCGCGCTCCGTGGCCTGGGTCTTTCTTTCATAGATGTTGACACATAAAATAAATTTGACTCACAAAACTGAATATTATAATATCCGTATGTCGACTTAAAGTAGATAACTCATCTGAGCGCTGAAACAAATCATCTGTTCAGCCGCTGCAGCAGGACGGAGAGAGGACACGGAGACATTTCCAGGTTGAGCTGTGCGAGAAATAAGAGGAAGAGGAAGAAAGAAAAGGAGGGAGATGAATTACATATCTTGTTAATTTCATCATGTGTGTTTATTTACTAGATATTTAATTTGATTCAGTTGTGTTGATTCGGTCAGGTTGTGTGTCCAAAACGCGTGCCAAATGCGCTCATCAGATCAGATATAGATCAGAATATATCTTTATAGATCTAAATGTATGTGCTGACTCAGATTAATAGTTGATGATGATTATTTATTGCACTGAAATCTGCCTGACATTCTGGAAACCTGCCGGTGAGGCATCGGTGTCGTATGCCGATACCCCGCTGGTCTACCAAAATACTACTAGACCAGCTGCGCTCCACCTGCACTGAAAGCTGACCAGGTTTGAATCGGCGAGCTTTCAGCGCACTTTAAACGCCACTGGCGAGCACGAAAATGTCACTGTGCCTGCTTATTCTGTCGACACCTCCCCATGCCACACCACCACGCCCAGCTTGGTGGATCTCAGTTCACCTCCGTGCGCCTCAGTCCACGAAAATACCAAACTGGCTGTACGCCGGGCTCCGCCAGACCAAAATACAACTGCGCGGGGTCCGCCACCCTCCGTCGCCTCACCGGCGTACACGAGAATAGAGCCCAAGGTGTTTCCATGTCACGCTATCCAGTTTTCTCTCTGCGTTCCCCAGGTAGCAGGTTCCTGAAGAATCAGGCTATGATGTTACATGCACAAGCACAGAAACAGGATACTTAGAAACCTGATCATAGCCGAGATTCTCAAGTCAGGAGTCACTCTGTCAGGAGGAATGAAAATGAGAAATGCTGCTGTCTTCACTTTGTGCCATGCATTTGAATTGCAGCCTTTTTTGCCGTGTGTTTTGCAGTGTTAGTGTGAGATGTTAATACCAGACTGCAGCGCTTGAAAGTGGTTTAATTCCCTGGTGTCATTACACTGGCATTGTGCATTGAGCTGCTTTGTAGTGTTTTGTTCTTGTTCATACAACTGTTTGTTCATCAGCCTCTCTGCAGCTAGTTCTAACAGAAATCTGTGTTTTCTTTGAGTTTGCGTGGAAGTGTGTGTGTATGTTCCTGCTGCAAGCAGACTTGTTCCACTTCCAGATCCAAGCAGACTTTAGAGGGAAGAAATAAAACACAGTGACTTGCTGCAAAAGTGTTTATTTTTTTGTCAGCAGACTTAAGGTGTTTCAAGGTTTATGCATGGACTCTTACACTGACACTTCAATCATAATCTAAAGTATTTCTGTTATTGTGCCATAAAGATCCACAGAAGGAGAGATAACGCTTGTAGAATAATAATAATTCAGCCTTCACATAAAAGTCCCATTGCATTTTTATCTTGAAATTACTCTCCACTTAAAAAAAAGAAAGCTAGATATGCAGCCCTGTATATTGCCCTCTGTAGATCACACAGATAAAGAGATGAGGGCTGGCTCTCAGTGGACCCAATATAGTTTGATTTACCTGCGGTCGTTTTAAAAGGGGAGCACAATATTCCCCCTAATGTGAATTGAAAAGCACTGGAGGAGAAAATCATTTCATCACTCTATCTGTGATGGTGTCAGCAGAGGGAGCGAGAATTGACTAATATGTGTGTGAGCGTATCTGTGTGTGCGTGGTGAGTGTGTGTGTGGCAGAGAGTTGTTTCGGTGGATCCACAGAGGATAAATGATTACCTCTGTTAAGATGGAGCTTTGAGCTGAAGAGACTGTGTGATGCTGCGATATTGAAGGCCCGTGTGAATCCTATCGACCACACTGCATCATCTCCCACTCAGGCTGCGTTCATATAGACCTGTTAGCTACAGAGAGAGCAACACAGTCTAGATATCCAGTTTAGTTTCTCATGCGCAACTTAAGTTTGAAATGCTTTCAAGTGCCTGTATTTGTAATCATTTGTGCCTCCCTAAACCATCTATCCAAAATGTAGACAGTTTTTTACACCTTGCACGACAATGTAGTTTCCAAACTGTATTTCCTGCAGGTGCATCTACAACTACAGAGACCACTTTGACCTAAAAGATAAGAGATATGTTAGACACATGTAGTCATGCCCCAGGTAAGGGACTTTGCATTTGAAGTGTAGGATTTATGTGTATAAGACCAAAACATAATATGAATCTGCTGCAGGCCAGACAGCCATCTTGGCTGGATGACAAAAAAAAAGAGTGAGTCCATCCACATAAAAATGTCAGAAAGGAGGATTTCAAGCTTGCTACAGTCACTTGACACTACAGGTTACATTGCTACACTCACAATAGGTTCACGTCATAATAGCCTCAAAGGCTGTTGGTATATATTTTGACTCCACCCATTGTGCACTCTGCATTGCACCCACTGAGTGTGCACAGAACAAATAAGCACTTCCTTTGTGAAACCCCAGTGGCCTTATGGATAAGGCACTGGCCTCCTAAGCCTGAGATTGTGGGTTGAAGTTTTGCAGCAGAGTGGTGCAGCTGTAGTGTGCTGGGCCCATAACCCAGAGGTTGATGGATCGAAACCATCCTCTGCTAGCTCACTTTTTCCTATGCTTTACACACAGGGCATACCACTGATCATGTATACGAACCAAGCAACTACTTTCAAGTTGACAGAGGCAACATCAAACCCAAACCTCAGGTGCCATGATTGAATGCCAAGCCTCAAAAGAAAGACTTTCAGGATGTCCAATAAGGCCAACAAATGATGTGCACTTTTCCAAGTTGGCTGGGGTGGAATGCCAACACCACTTGTTTTCTTCAGCAGAAACGCATTAGGCCCACACATATTCACCACAGGACATGAGGAGTCCAGGGACTCAAGCAATGCTGGAGCTCTGGATGAGTGAGGACCCTCTTGACCAAACAACTGAAGACAAAATTGATTTGTATTCTTTCTGATCCCCTTTGTTTGGTTTCTTTGTGAGGCAACAAAACGCCTCTCTGCTGATGCCAATATCACAGTGTGATATTGAAAAGTGCTTTTTTACATCATCAGGAACGACGGATAGCCCCAAGTTCTTAAGTGTGAAGTGTGCTTTTAAGTGTTGTTGTTTTCGGGATGTTATACACTTACAAAAATGTCAGGGGAGAGGGTGAATGCCAAACAACTCAGAGTAGGGAAGCTGTCGTGCTGTGTGCTGACATCAGTATGACACATGAGCTTGGGCCACATCTTTGTGCTCAGGCAAGATCACATTAGTTGTCTGTTTCTGCTACAATAACCTCACAGGCTGTTGGTGTGTATTTTGAACTCAGCCATTTAGCTCCCTGCATTGTTGCTCTGTAGTGTTACTCACTGAGTGTGGACAAAACAGGTCCCTCTGTAGCCTGTGAAGCCCCAGTGGCCTAATGGATAAGGCACTGGCCTCCTAAGCCAGGCATTGTGGGTTTGAGTCCCATCTAGGGTGATTTACAGCAGAGTGGCGCAGCAGAAGCGTGCTGGGCCCATAACCCAGAGGTCGATGGATCGAAACCATCCTCTGCTAGCTCATTTTTCCCAATCTTACGCAGTTCACACCAATTATCATGTGATGAAACTTGAAACCCCCAACCCCCCCATTTATTTTTTCATATTTTTCGAACATTGAGGCATCAGGATCAAATGCAGGCTGTATAGTCACTAGTTGAAAGCTTAAATTAGGTTGAACAATAAGATAGTGTATTACAAGAAAATGTTTCACATGAAAAAAAAAATTTCTACCACCATTTTACCACTAGGAACAACATTGGAGAATAGTCTTGCTCGGTGCACAGTGTTCTTTAAAATGCTGGGTCTTCAGCTTTCTCTTGAAAGTGGAGAGGGACTCTGTGGATTGAATGGAGTTGGGTATTCATTACAGCATTTAGGGACAACAGAAGAAAGGAGTCAAACTAGTGACTTTTGGGCCAGTGCTGTAAGTACCAGGCGCCTTTCCTTGGCTGACCGTAGCAGGCAAGAAGGGGTGTAGACCTGGATGAGGGGTTCCTAGTAAACAGGAGCGGTTTTTGGTTACAGCTTTGAAAGCAATGGTTAGAGTTTTGTATCTAATGACAGCTGCAACTGAAAGCCGGTGTAGAGAGATGAACAGAGGACTGACATGAGCTGTCTTGGGCTGGTTGAAGACCAGACATACTGCTGCATCCTGGATGATTTGCAGAGGTTTAACTGTGCTTGCAGGGAGGCCTGCCATTAAGGAGTTGCAGTAGTCAATTCTTGATGTTACCAGGAGCCTGTACCAGGAGCGGTGTGTCATGATCTGTCAGGTAGGGTCTCACCCTCTTGATGTTATTGAGAGCAAATGGCAGGAGTGAGCTATCAAGGCCACATGAACCTTAAAAGTTAGCCGGTCGTCAATTACAACATCAAGAGCAGGCATAGTGGGCATAGGTTTATTTGATCCAAACTGAATGTTGTTCTGTGGTTCCACAGTGGGACTGTCTGGAATGATATTAAGCTCAGTCTTGGACAGGTTGAGCTGAAGGTGACATTTGTTCATCCATTTGGAAATATCAGCAAGGCAGGATGAAATCCCTGTGAGGTTAGACTTATACCACTGGAGGGAAGACCCTGAGATGCTTAGTGAAGAGACAGTGGAGAGGGGGATTTTGTGGTTTACTATTTCAAAGGCAGTAGACAGATCCAGCAGCAAGAGAACTGAGGACTGACCAGTTTCTCTAGCCGAATGCAACCATACCGACTATTGTGCAGTTTCAGTACAGTGGCCTTTAGGGACCTAGAAGTTCTTGCAATATGTGCTTTGACTAACCACATTTACTAATACACAATAATTGAATGTGCCTGTAAGAGTCCATTGAAGAAAATGAAAAGGGTCTGTTTCTGCCACAAAAGCTTATATGTTCGTATGTATTTTGAACCCAGTCATTAAGCTTCCTGCGTTGTTGCTCTGTATCAGTATGACACAAAAGCTAGAGTAGCATCTTTGCACTCAAGCTAGATCAAAAAAGTTTCTGCCACAATAGCCTCACTGGCTGTTGGTGTGTATTTTGAACCCAGTCATTTAGCTGCCTCTATTGTGGCTCTGTAGTGTTGTAGTATAACTCACTGAGTGAGGATAGAACAAGCCAGCTCTTCCTCTGTGAAGCCCCAGTGGCCCCATGTGAAGTCCAGGGAGTCAGGCAATGCTGGGGCTCAGGATGAATGAGGACCATCTTGACCAAAAAAACTGAAGGCAAAATTGATTTGTATTCTTTCTGACTCTCACACATGAAAATTTACTTTCTGGTCCCCTTTTGTAGATGGTTTCCTTGTGAGGCAACAAACAACTCTGTTGTAGCCCCCATCACGGTGTGAAATTAAAATGTACTTTTTGACATCATCAGGAAAGACAGATAGCCCTGAGTTCACAAGTGTTATGTGTGCCTTTGAGTGCTGTGTGCTGACATCAGTATGACACATGAGCTTGGGTCGCATCTTTGTGCTCAGGCAAGATCAAATTGGTTGTCTGTTTCTGCCACAATAGCCTCACAGGCTGTTGGTGTGTATTTTGAACTCAGCCATTCAGCACCCTGCATTGTTGCTCCGTAGTGTAGCTCACTGAGTGTGAACAGAACATGTCACTTTGTGGCCTGTGAAGCCCCAGTGGCCTAATGGATAAGGCACTGGCCTCCTAAGCCAGGGATTGTGGGTTCGAGTCCCATCTGGGGTGATTTGCAGCAGAGTGGTGCAGCGGAAGTGTGCTGGGCCCATAACCCAGTGGTCGATGGATCGAAACCATCCTCTGCTATTCTACTTTTCAAATGCTTCCTGTCTTTACACCATTCATCATGCAACAAAATCACACAACTGTTCCTCGTCAGGAATGGCGCTCTTATGTTAATTGCTTGCAGATCAGCTTGACAGTTTCCCTCTGGATTTACACCTTAGATGGATACTTTTAAGTGCAATATTTATTTGCATTCAAACATAAAATGTACAAATTGATATAATGAAGTTGAATATAAAAAAACAGCGGACTCAAGGACTTTATGAAGCTCATATTGGAATAAAGGTATTTTCAGGACATTGAAGCAGGCAACAAAGTGTAGATATCATAAAATAGAAGCTGAGATACACACAGGGTTAATGTAATCATTCTTAATGGGTCCAGTTAGGAGTGAAGCTACAGCAGTTGTTGCAATTGAAGACAGCAGCCTGATGGTGTCCCAGAACCAATTTTGTAATAAGACTGGAACACTGAAATCACAGTTGATATGAAACAGGTGTTTTTCATCCAGCTACAGGTACCATAGGTGGCTACAATGCTGAAAATGATGTTGGCTTGCAATAATAAACTGATAAGTCTATGTCTGAATTTCCATGACACATAAAGCTGTGTCTAATTTCAAGCCTGCTGGCTGATCATGTTAGATACAAACACACCTTGCAGCTCCACTGGCTCTAATATTTAAAAAGTGACAGGTGGATGAAAACAGGATCAGACGGGGGATGTTGGATGAAGTCGACAGAGAGGAGAGAGGTGACATTTGTGTATATGTGTGAATTATCTCTGCTGTAATTGCTTTCTCACTTGTGCATGTAGAACATGTTTCCTCATGCTGCTCTTGGTTTATAAAGTCATCCATCATTGTCCTGCGTGTCATCTCACAGTTTGTAGCTCATATTAAATTTCAAAATGAGGCTGCACTGAAGATAGATGCACATTATATTCTGATGCCGACAATTTCCTCCTTCATGTGTCAGGATGGATACACAATTTTGGGTGCATATCTGTCTCTGTGGTCTTCTCCATGTGCTGCATTGACACTGTTGAGGTTCAGCTCTGTTTCTGGGTGTTTTCAAGAAGGAAATCTTGCTGCAAAGTTAACAGGCTAATCATGTATCAATGCAGCTCTGATGCTGCCTTTCATCTCATTGCATTATTTCTTAGAAAAAAACAAACAAAGCAAAAGCAAGATAGAGAGTACAAAGAAGTGAAATTAATTATTCAAGAAAAGTAAAACATGAACAAATTAAGCTTTTATAAAGTTGGTCTTTATGCAAACTGACTTTAAATGTTACTCTGCTGCACTGGAATCAATTAATGGCCTCTTATTTATTTCAAACATCCTCTATTTCCCCAGAAAGGGAACAAACTGCAGTTTGAGAAAACATGTTTAAACAAGTGGATAAAGATGTGACCTCTGAAAAAAATCTATCAACATTTGGGAATCAAATCATGCAGTTCAACCACACAGATGACAACAGGAGTGTTTCCAAGGGACACTAAGGTGATCACACTTACATGGTTGAGTGGTTGATGTTAGCGCGCAAGTGTGTCCCATTCCTGCAACAATCAAATGTGCAGCACGCTTGATTTGCACTGTTTCTGTACTTACTGTAAGACCAATGCTGAGCAGTTCAAACCCCACAATGCATCACATCTGTGACATTTATTCCCACTACATTACAATCAAAAGTTGTGAGACTGACATGCCACTGAAGAAACTCCAAGGTAAAAGGACTCTCTAATGGTCCAGGGCTTCGGGAGGCAGGGCCTTATGATTTTATTAACATAAAAAATAGGTAGTTAATCTATGTGTAAAATACTGGAAGCACGGACACACAGAGAGAAGCAAACTGAATATCTTGATTATATTCTACATGAAGATGCCATGTTGTAACTTTGATATTACATTCATAACTTTTTAATGATAGAACTGTATGTATGCAAGCTCCATGAATGTGAGTGCAGTGAGTGGTTCTGACAATTCATTTGAACAGGGACTAAAGAAAAAAACCCACTTTGATTTAACTTCTTAAGGTGACCAGTGCAAAGAACACAGCATTTAAAGGATACTGCAAAGTATCTGTTGACATAACCTTTAGGGATCGTTTTGAATGATTGATACTGATAACAATTAGAAGTAGTTCATGAGTCCAGTAACAGGTATTTGTAACCATTTGGCACTGACAGGAACAAATAAGAAATTTTCTGTTAAAATTTTGGATTTGAGGTCCTCCAAACCTCATTATAAAATTAATGGGAAAAAGTAACTATCTCCACTCTTTTGTCAATAATTCACGGTTTTACTCCTTTGTAATAAAAATGATGTGTTCCATGTTGCTTTTCTTTCCCTGTTAAGCTGTGCTGCAACCATAAGAGTATTTGAGAGTATTCATGTGTGTGTTTCTCAGTTTGTGTCAGACATATTCCCTTGACAGCCTGCTTCATCTCCACTAAACATATGAAGCTCCCACACAAACTGGCACGGTAGTGACTCAGCTACTGCTGTGAAACAAGTTCCCTGTACAGTTAGAGTTCTTAAAAAGTTTATCAGACTTTTTTAAACTTATGTGAAAAAAGACAAGGCCAAAGGCTGACATTTTGGCAGGTAAGACCTTTCCAAAGACATACTTTTATGTCTTTAATGAAAACCTGTCCCCACTTTCGTTAATTGTATGTTTCATCAGAATACCGTGTAACAGATCCAGAAATGTCAGCTATTTTTCTGAGCCCAAGCCATTTTAAATGGACCAAGGTAGAGTGGAAATCTGTCCTCTAGTTTGACAAATCAATTTTTTACATTCTTTCTACATCATCCACCATATGAAAAAGAAAGGGGCCACCAGGTTTGTTACTAGGGCACAGTTTAAAAGCCAGCATTTATGATGGTGAGGGGATGCATAAGTGCACATGGCATGATAGTTACACATCAAGCAGTGCACCATTAATGTTCAGATACACTGCATTTCAAGCAACATATGCTGCCATCCAGAAAGGGTCTTTTTCGTGACAACAGGGTGGCTTGGTAGGAGGAAAGTCATAAAGCCTCTTTCCTTGTTGCTCTGTTGTGTAGCTCACTGAGTGTGGACAGAACAGGTCACTCTGTGGCCTGTGAAGCCCCAGTGGCCTAATGGATAAGGCACTGGCCTCCTAAGCCAGGGATTGTGGGTTTGAGTCCCATCTGGGGTGATTTGCAGCAGAGTGGCGCAGCAGAAGCGTGCTGGGCCTATAACCCAGAGGTCGATGGATCGAAACCATCCTCTGCTAGCATTCTTTTTGAATGCTATCTTAGTTTACACCCCTCATCATTCAACAAAATTGAACAACAGTTCCTACTAGATAAAGGCTACGATAAACTGAAATCTGATTGACACTGATTTCTAACAAAGTTTCCAGGCCTTTTACCTACCATCTCTCAACTGCTCTTGAGCCACTATCAAAAGCATATAGCCTCTGGAGAACACCAGACGCCTACCACTTCCAAAAAAAAGTGAAAAACTTGACCTAACTGCACATACTTTAAGGATGTCACCACAGGACAGTGTTGGTGTGTATTTTGAACCCAGTCATTTAGCTGCCTGCATTGTGGCTCTGTAGTGTTGTAGTATAACTCACTGAGTGAGGATAGAACAAGCCAGCTCTTCCTCTGTGAAGCCCCAGTGGCCCCATGTGAAGTCCAGGGAGTCAAGCAATGCTGGGGCTCAGGATGAGTGAGGACCATCTTGACCAAAAAAACTGAAGGCAAAATTGATTTGTATTCTTTCTAACTCTCACACATGAAAATTTACTTTCTGGTCCCCTTTTGTAGATGGTTTCCTTGTGAGGCAACAAACAACTCTGTTGTAGCCCCCATCACGGTGTGAAATTAAAATGTACTTTTTGACATCATCGGGAAAGACAGATAGCCCTGAGTTCACAAGTGTTATGGGTGCCTTTGAGTGCTGTTGTTTTTGGAAAGTAATCCACTCACTAAAAATGTCAGGATAGAGGGTGAATGCCAAAACTCAGAGCAGGGCAGAAGTCGTTTGTGTGCTGACATCAGTATGACACATGAGCTTGGGCCGCATCTTTGTGCTCAGGCAAGACCACAATAGTTGTCTGTTTCTGCCACAATAGCCTCACAGGCTGCTGGTGTGTATTTTGAACTCAGCCATTCAGCTCCCTGCATTGTTGCTCCGTAGTGTAGCTCACTGAGTGTGAACAGAACAGGTCACTCTGTGGCCTGTGAAGCCCCAGTGGCCTAATGGATAAGGCACTGGCCTCCTAAGCCAGGGATTGTGGGTTCGAGTCCCATCTGGGGTGGTTTACAGCAGAGTGGCGCAGCGGAAGCGTGCTGGGCCCATAACCCAGAGGTCGATGGATCGAAACCATCCTCTGCTAGCATTCTTTTTGAATGCTATCTTAGTTTACACCCCTCAAACTTGACCTAACTGCACATACTTTCAGGATGTCTGTTTTGGCCAACAAATGATGTGCACTCTTCCAAGGTGCCAACATGTTCACCACAGGACAGTGTTGGTGTGTATTTTGAACCCAGTCATTTAGCTGCCTGCATTGTTGCTCCGTAGTGTAGTTCACTGAGTGTGGACAAAACAGGTCCCTCTGTAGGCTGTGAAGCCCCAGTGGCCTCCCCAATAGCAGAGTCGCCCGCTATGGCCGTCCATTTCTTGCCAATCAGATTGTCTCCCCTCTCCATTTCTCTCCATTTCTTGCCAATGAGATCTCTCCCCTCTCCATTTCGTTCCATTTCTTGCCAATCAAATAATTCCCTGATCTCCATTTCTTGCCAATCAGAGCTTCAGCCTGGAGCTCCATTTCTCACCAATCAAAACGCACCTCTGTTTCCATTTTTCTTTCCACCTCAACTCCCGCCTCCTTCCGCGTCGACCAATCAGATGGCTTTTGCTGCCTCTGTGTTTACAGCAACGGCAAGTGCAGTCAAAGGTGACACCGGCATCTTCCACGGTAAGTAATTAAAAAGTTTTTGAGTTTTCCGTTGAAAACCTGCTGGCTGTATCAAAGTGAACTAACTGCGAAAGCGTGCAGCATGAAGTTTTCACTGACTCGCGGTTATTGACTTGTATTTAGCCTCTACAATAACGAAGCACAGTGTGATGGCTGTAATGAAAACAGTGACATATCCAGCAAAACAAACAAACAAGCAAATAAACAAGTAAACAAACAGCTAAAGCTTTCCTTTGTAGCCTGACAAGTGTTGATGTGTCTAAGAATATATTTTTCTTGTATTTTACGTTGCAAAGCCCTTCATCAGGTCATAAAATGATAATGTACTGTTTAAATTCATACACTTAGTAGCTTGTTGTTTGGAGTTTGGCCCAGTCATGCAGGAAATAGGCCAACTCCTAGGCAAAAAAAGTGACATGAACTCTATCACAAGGTAGATCTTTCATCATAGGTCAGTATCACAATGAAGTAATAAGTATGTATCCTGGTATATCTTAAATGTGTTTTGTGACAGATTGAAAAGTGTCCACTCCAAAATTGGGGTCAGATGTCTTTGTTTGGTGTGGCACAGGTCTGCTCGTGTGGGTTTCACAGTCAAACGGTAAACTGGATTGGTAAATTTGAATGATTCACCACAATATTGTATGTAATAATAGAGTTCATTAAATTAAGGAATGAAACCAGTAAAAATTAATCTGTTACTACAGCTGAAGAGACGGGTAAAACTTTTTGACAAGTGGTTGTCATGCAGTAATACATTTACAAATTAAACAAAACCCACAAACATCTTTAACTAAATTATGAGAGTTCTTTCTCTTGTTTCTTCAGACACATCCAGAACAGACAGTTAGATCTGCCACCTCATCAGTCTGCATCAACTGTGGCTGGCTCCTCTGCAGTCCCTCACAGAGTTGCTGCACCCTCAGAGGTTGCTGTGCAGCGACCCAAACTCACCCTTCAAATGGTACTCAAGAAGCACAGTTTTATTAAAAATCGAATCTGAATTTAATACAATAAAGTACGCAAAAAGATGATTAATCTTTTACTGGCATTAATCCTTCAGTTTGAAAAATCCCAGTTTGGTGGTTCTCTGAGTTCTGCAGTCAAGCCAAACCTTAGTCTCGCCAGGAGAACTCATCAGGTATGATAAAAAAAACTGGATTGATAAATCTAGTCGTAAATTTTCATAGTTGTTTAAAACTTCTTAACTAGCATCTGTTATTGATATGGGTTGTTTCTATTTAGGCTGTATTTGGACAGAGGAAAAAGTGCCTAGAAAGTGAATCTCATTCCACTTAAGTGGGGCAACATAAACTGTGATTCGTAAGATAGCTCTATTGATAGTAAGTACTAAAAAAAATATATCTACTCATGCCGTCCTGTCGATTTTTAGTAATCAGTGTTTCGGTGTCGAACTATTTCCCTTCTGCGGCGTAGTGATACTTGCACACACGCAATCGAATATGCAGGGGGTGAAGCCATTTTTGTCACGTCGACCAATAGGAGCCGAGTCTCGTTGCCATAGTATCAGAAATACACAAACATGGCGACGACCGCATCTCGCAGCGAGACAAGCGAAGAGGAAGAAAAGAAAAGGAAAAAAAGATAACAGCCTTCAAAAGTGCATAAAAATGGAACGAAACGATGCTATATGCATCTATCATCTGTCCAGAGTGAAGACGTTCTCGACTTTACAAGGACACGTTGGGAAACTTACATAACTAGTATTAGAAAGTGGTTTTCTCTACAGGGTGAGACAAGGACCTTGCAGAAACTTATAAACATTGCATTGATATCGACTTTGACAATGTTCCTGATGACGCTGGGTTTCACATGACATGCTACCAGCGATTTATTTGCAAAATGCGTTTGAGAAACAAGAACGTGATGCAGCCTCGGGTCAGTCAAACCCTTAACGCAGCATCGCCGATGCATCCACGTCCACGGCATCTGAAACTCCGCGAAAGAAACTTCTCTCGAGGTCATAGGCTGTATTGGGATGAAGGAAAAAGTGCCTAGAAAGTGAATTTCGTTCAACTACGCTGGTGCTACTTGTTCAATGCATTTTTGCATAGACAATTCCCTTCTGGACTTAAGGTTAAAATATCTACTCAGACTATCTGTCCGACTTTTGTCACCAGCCAGAAATGTACATATATGTGAGTAACCCAAAAAACAATTATATGGTGCTGCTGTTTTTGCTTGTAGAAACTGCTATGTTGATTCTGGCAAGACAAAATCTTTCTCAAATGTCATAAATACATCTACCTAACATCTGAAACAGTTATTGGTGCCTTAGTATACGCATAAGTGAATTCAGATTGTGAAATGTAGCAAATTTCTTGAAGAAAACGTCTCAGCTCAACTCAACACTTGTGAACTCAACAGCACATCATGGCCATATAAGGCTGAAAGTCAATCGAATTTCTACCACGCCCCCCAAAATTGGAATAATGGAAAAAATGTAACAAGACAAAAGTAAATGCACCAAAAGTCTGGATTAATTCAAAATATGGTATAAAACATTTATTCAAGTATCACAGTGTCAAAACATCTGACATTTATCAGTCCCTCCAGAATATGAAAATAAAGATCAAAACACAAACGCAGACAAATGTAGAACAAATATAAAGATAATAAAAATCGCAAATCTCGTGTAGCAATCCTTTAAACAAAACAAATTGTACATGGTGACATGGTGCGTATATTACGCATCACGATCACTTTCATCTGTGTCATCATCCCATACAGCTCTTTCTTCTGTTTCCTTTGAAGCATTCTCACATGCTTGGCACCAACATAAATCTGTACAAGACAGTCTTGCAGACATACAAGAACATCCATACATTCACAGGTTGTGACTCGTCCAGCGCCTGTCATGGCATGGGCAAAAGAAAAACATTTTCTGTTGCTTTTCCTTTTTTATGCACTTTTGAAGGCTGTTTTCTTTTTTTTCCTTTTCTTTTCTTCCTCTTCACTTGTCTCGCTGCTAGATGCGCTCGTCGCCATGTTTGTGTTGTTCTGATACTATGGCAACGAGACTCCACTCCTATTGGTCCATGTGACAAAAATCGCTTCACCCCTTTGCATATTCGATTGCGTGTGTACAAGGATGACTACGCCGCAGAAAGGAAATAGTTCGACAACGAAACACTGATTACTTAACATCGGCTGGATGACATGAGTAGATATATATATTTTTAGTACATACTATCAATAGTGCTATTTTATGAATCACAGTTTATGTTGCACCACTAAAGTGGAACGAACGAACATGATCTCATTCAGCCAACACAGCCTACAGGGCAGGCCAACACCTTTAACAGGCCCCAGTGACTTAATGGATATGGCACTGGCCTCCTAAACCAGCCATTTTGGGTTTGAGTCCCATCTTGGGTGATTTGCAGCAGAGTGGAGCAGCAGAAGCTTGCTGGGCCCATAAGCAGACCCAGTGGCATTGGAGGGCATTGGGGGGCTCTGCCTTCCCACCAAATCAGCTGTGCCCACCCCGTATAAAAAGCAAAATTATCAATTAATTTGATTTGCGGTTTGTTTTTTTCTGTCAGAGTAGTCATCTTCAGTTAATCCTGTCTATCTTGAAATGTCAATCAAGCCAACCAATCAAATCCATCGAAGGCAGCGTGTTAGCCATTTACAGGTAAAGGGGGGCAGGCTGCTTACTGAGTTTAACTTCAAATATTCATAGACGGACTTGGCGCGGCAGACTCATCTGTAAAAATCACAAAAATGGACATCAGAGGTTTTTTTGTTAGTCAAAAAATGACAGACGGGAACAAGCAGGAAGTAGCGGCAGCGCCACACAGCTCCAGTTTTAGGAAGTTAAGCCCTGAAGCCAACAGTCACACGACAGTAAACATTCATGTTAGCAGAGGGAGGAACAGCAGCTAGGGAGCACCAGGAGCAGCAGTGGGCAGCGAGACCCTCCTGACTGGAAACGTGAGTGATGACAACGTTGTGAATAACAATGTATTACCGCAGCTTCGTGGCAACATTACAGCTGCGAGGAGCAGCAGCAAGGAAGCCAGTGACTTTGGCACAGAAAAGCCCCATAGACCACTTCTGCAGAGCTTTCCTTTGTGCCTTTTCTCAGGGAAAAAAGGTCATTCTGCAGTTCCTGGTGTGGAAGTTTTACCTGGCTGGGGTATTCACTTCAAGCAGATGCTGCAGACAGTCAATAGAATCTTGAGAATCAATCACAAGTAAGCTCAAGGGAATGAAATTCTGCCATTCTGATGAACTGGATTTACAATTTTGTTTTACTCTTCACCTATTGTAACTTTTCTGTCAATATTTGTTTCATTTAATTGCAATTCATTGTGATTATAACATACCTCGAGCCCCGTTTTAATGCTGTAATGTTTGGGATATGTTGTAAATAAAGTTGTTTACATTTGAAAAAAAGAAAAAAAAGAAAACTTTAAGAGAACGGAATTGTGATGTCACAATGACATCATCAAAGCCCTTTAGAGTGATGTCACAATGACATCATCATCAGCAAAGGCATCTAGAATTGATATATATACTGTATATGAGCTGAGCCACAGCTTGTTATTCCATAGATTTGATCTGAGACCACACCGTCTACAGAGAGCATCTACTGAGGACCTTTACAGAGACCGCATACAAAGAGCGTATACAGAGACTGTATACACAGAGCATCTAGAGAGACCGTCCAAAGAGACCAGTCCAGAAGACTTGAGAGATTTTTTTCACTGTTCTTCATTTACAAACCACAATGCAGAACAACAAGGAAACACAGCCCATGAACTGGGCAGATATGATGGAGTTGGAGGATGTGGAGATGATTAACACAATGCCAGGGGCCAGTGTTGACAGCAGCTGCCAGCAAAAACAACCAACGCAGCCCCCCACTCAGCCAGCAGCTCAGCAAAAACAGCAGGAGGTAAACAAGGTATACCTGAACCCTCGTCAGAAAACCGTGGGAATCCGCCTGATTAACCACCAGGCCTCTAACCAAAGACATCAGGGAGTCCATCAGATTAACCCCCAGACCCCTTACCAAAAACATCAGGGAGTCCATCAGATTAACCCCCAGACCCCTTACCAAAAACAACAGGGAGTCCGTCAGGTTAACTACCAGACCCCATACCAAAGACCACAAGGGGACAGGCAGGTTAACCACCAGACCCCATACCAAAGACCACAAGGGGACAGGCAGGTTAACAATCAGGCCCCTCAGGTACACCCTCCGCGATGGCAGGTGGAAGCAGCTCTCACTAGCCGAATACAGGCATTGAGCTTACTTCTAAAACAGGAGACTGAGAAAAACGATGCCCTGCAGAAGAAGTACACAACCGAAGTGGCTCACCTGCAGAAATGGGTAAAAGTGGAACGATGTGAGGGCTGTGAATTGGTAATTGTGCAGCTGAAAGAGGAGCTGAAACATTTGAACCCGTCCTACGCCAAACCACAGGACATGTTTTATTACTCTTTAAAAACAAAAGAGGAGCTTTTGGGTGTAATTTCTGCCCAAAAAAAAATGTTACTTGCGCCACACTCAGGTGGTCCAAAGCCGCAGGAGCAGGCCTCCAGCACTGGCCCCAACATGGATGCTTTGGAGAATGAGCTCAAAGCGCAGATGGCTGCTAAACAGGCTATGGAAAAAGAGATGGAAGAGCTAAAAAAAGAGTTGGAGCTCTGTAGAACATCAGAAACGAAGCCTGATAATACAGCTGAGATGCAGGCGCTCAAAGATCGTGTTGCATCTCTTGACAGCCAGCTGCAGGCCGAGAGACTAAGGGCTGATACCCTCCAAAAAGAACAGGAGGAATCGAGCTGCAAGCTTCAGGAGACTGACAGCAAGAACTTGAAACAGGTTGAATTGCTGGAGACAGAGAAAATTGCTCTGGAGCAGCAGGTAAAAGACCTGCAGGAAGAAGTTTCAAGAAGGGCAGAGGAGATTTCAATCAATACCGAGAAAACACAGGAGCTCCAAGACTCTCTTCAAGCCCTCAGTGCTCAACTGGTGACTGAAAGAAACTGGAACTTAGCCCTCCAGAATGATAGGCAGGACTTGTGTTTAAGACTTACATGTGCAGACCAGCATTACAGCAAGCAGGTTGAGCAGCTTGAGGCAGAGAAGCTTGCCCTGGAGCAGAAAGTGAAGGACTTGCAGGAGGATGGTGTTTCAAGAAGAGCAGAGGATGAAACAAGTAATACTGAGGGTAATCAAGAGCTCCAAGAACTTGTGGAATTGTTTAAAATTCAGCTGCAGGCTGAAAAAAACAGGACCAAAACCCTTGAGAGTGAACGAGAGGAACTCAAGTCTTCCCTTCAGGAGATTGCCAACCAGAACCTGAAGCAGGCTAACCAGTCAGAGGCTGAGAAACTTGTCCTGGAGCAGACTGTAATGGAGCTGCAGGAGGAGATCATAAGCAGAGCAAAAACCCAATTAGTTTATATCTCCAAGATTGAAGAGACCCTTGATATTGTAGCTTCCCAAAATATTCTTATGCAGGAAAAGCAGCAGATAGCTGACGACCTCATGACACAACTGGAGGAAGTCAGGCATCAGCTTCTGGACAAAAATGGCAAAGAACTGAAGCTGATTGAAGAGGTGACCAAAGAAAACGAGTCTCTGAAACAGACTGTGAGGGAGCTGCAGGAGGAGATCATGAGCCGAGCAAAGACTGAATCAATGTATCTCACCAAGATTGAAGAGACCCTTGATATTGTAGCTTCCCAAAATATTCTTCTGCAGGAAAAGGGGCAGATGGCTGACGACCTCATGGCACAACTGGAGGAAGTCAGGCATCAGCTTCTGGACAAAAATGGCAAAGAACTGAAGCTGTTTGAAGAGGTGACAACAGAAAATGAGTCTCTGCGACAGAAGGTGAGTGACCTGCAGAAAGAGGCCCAAAGCAGAGAGAAGTTTTATGAAGATCAGCTGGAGACCTTAAACAGTCAGCTGACAGAAGCAAACAGCACCTGCTTCAAACTGGCATCCAATCTAGAAGACCAGGAAGAGGTCTGTCAGGCCCTGCGCAGGGACCTAGTTGAGCTCCAAAAAATACTCAAGGTCACCGAGGAAACCCCTGAGATGGAGGAGGTCTCCAAAATAACACCTGAGACCATCAAGGAAACCATAGAGATGGAGGTGATCTCTGGAGCAACACTCGAGACCATCGATGAAACCATAGAGATGGAGGAGATCTGCAGCTCAATACCAGAAGTCATCGAGGAAACACTTGAGATGGAGGAGGTCTCCAACATAACATCTGAGACCATCGAAGAAACACCTCAGATGGAGATCTCCTGGTGGAGGAGGGTTAAAAAGGGAATGACTCCTAAACATCGGCGCCAATATAAGCAGCAGATGAAGGATGAAAACCCCAACCCCACACCATAAAAACAAACACACACACACACAGGCCATCACAGGCCAATAGGTAGGCACATAGGAACATGTCAGGTCCTGACAGACTGAAGCTACTGCTTTCTGTCAGTCAGGACTTAACACGTTTCTCTGTGTCTGTGTGGTTTCCTCCGGGATAGCTCCGGTTTTCCCACACACACCAAAAAACAACAAACAAAACAACAAAGACAAAAAAATAAAATAAAATAAAATAAAAATAAATGTTTTTTAAAAATAAATAAATATATATATATATTTTTAAAAAATACAAAAAAAAACTTTACAAAAAAAAATAACAAAAAAAATTAAAAATTATGTAAAATAATAATAATTTAATAATAATTAATTATATATATCTAATCAATTTATATAATTATAATAATAATAATTAATTTAATAATAATAAAAAAATTTAAAAATTATAAAAAAAAAATAATAATAATCAAAAAAAAAAAAAAAAAAAATCCCCTCCTCGGGCTACCACCTTAACGTGGTGGAGGGGTTTGCGTGTCTCAATGATCCCAGGAGCTAAGTTGTCGGGGGCTTTATGCCTCTGTTAGGGTCACCCATGGCAAACAGTTCCTGGGGCAGGGATCAGACTAAGGGTAGCCCAAATACAAACCTAATGAAGAATACAATATTTGATAATGTGTTTCCTTGGCCTGTACATGGGTCACCAGGGCCACCACCTGGAGCTAGGCCTGGGAGTGGGGCTCAATAACAAGCGCCTGGTGGCCGGGCCTGGCACAGCCAGAAGAGGCCCATGGGAGGGGCCAGAGGAGTAGAGTGCAGTGTGAGTTTGGCAGCAGCAGAAGGCTGGGACCTTGGCAGTCCGATCCTTGGACTCACCTCCACACATAGGCTGTGTCTCATTTCAGAGACCGCATCGGGATAAGCGCGCTTAGCTGAGCGCACTGCCATTATGTGCCATTATGTACCCTTCCTATGTCCCATTTCAGAGACCGCAACCGTCGAACGGCGCATTTGAAGCATGCGTGAGGTCATCATGCGGCACTAACGGTGTCCCATTTGGCACAAAATGCTTAGCGTGCTTCAAATTCGGTCTCAAAACCACACTGCCCCCGCCCCTTTTTCAAGTGTGCATTTATGCACACTTTCGTGCCGTTGGTATCCCAGAATTCTTTGCGTGCCGCTGCACACCTGCGCATTTCGGGTGAGAGGCTGGACTCGCTTGGAGACACAGCGCGTCTTCAAAGAAAATACAAGAAATCCAAAAACAGCAGACAGTCAGCTCAGGCTGTATGAGAGCATGATCTCTGAACTCACTAAAGTCTGTTAACCAAACATTATACTCTTTAGAGACGAACTGATCTGCTCTGCTACAACAATCAGAAACGTTAGAAATAAGAAAGCTGACAAAACTACAGCAGAGGATCAGGACAACATTGAGGTTTTTTTGCTTGTCTGAGCTCGACTCCCTCTGGATCATAAATGTTGATCATCAGTTGGATTGTTTCTTCAGAAACCACAAAAACTCTCTGAATGACCCACTGATACATCCACCGATAACCCTGCAGATGACCAACTTCAGTCATTTCTCCCTCCACAAAAGCAGCTTTATGACTTTATTTACTTTATTCTCCTAAATTTACAACTTTAATCTCTTAATCTTAAAAGAAAAAGAAAAACTCAATGTTGTCCTGATCCTCTGCTGTAGTTTTGTCAGCTTTCTTATTTCTAATGTTTTTGATTGTTGTAGCAGAGCGGATCAGTTCTTCTCTCTTCTACTCTACCCTGCAGGTGCCACTGGTGAGAGGCACCATGCAGGGGTGGCAATACTTATTGCTCCCCGGGTTGGTGCCTGTACAATTATTCTTATTGTTGTATCGAAAAGTATAGCTCTTAAGAAAAATTCTCCATATTCAACCTTTAAAGTAAAAATGACACAAAGTTTAGACAAAAATCATGGTTCCTTTCTAACACTTGTTGTCTCACAACTACAGCACACTGAATGTGGACAGCACAGGCAAACGCCTTTAACAGGCCCCAGTGTCCTAATGGATAAGGCACTGGCCTCCTAAGCCAGGGATTGTGGGTTCGAGTCCCATCTGGGGTGATTTGCAGCAGAGTGGCGCAGCAGAAGGGTGCTGGGCCCATAACCCAGAGGTCGATGGATCGAAACCATCCTCTGCTAGCTATCTTTTCCTGTGCTTTACACAAAGTGCACAGCACTCTACAGGCAGTCTATGTGGGGGAAAATAACAGATGTGGTTGGATGTTTTGGAGGTTGCTATGAAGCAAGAAAACAGGACTGCAACACAGTCATGGTGAACTGTGTTGCAATAACATAAACTCTATCACACTTGAAACTCAGGTGTCAAGCTTCTCCAAGGCTTCTACCTACCATTTGGCATTTGGAACCCATTTATTTAGCTCACTGCATTGATGCTCTGTCGTGTAAGTCACTGAATGTGGACAGTAGGCTGTATTGGGACAAAGGAAAAAGTGCCTAGAAAGTGAATTTCGTTCCACTACGCTGGTGCTACTTGTTCAATGCCCATTGTGCATCCATACGTTCACAGGTTGTGACTCGACCAGTGCCTTTCATGGCAAGGGCAAAAGAAAAACATTTTCTGTTGCTTGTCAGAAAGAAGAATACCTGACTGGGTTTGCAAATCTGGGCAACAGTTTTTCACCTTGACCAATTCACCTTTAACACGCTGAGTAATTATGTGTGCCACCTGTATGGCCAGTCATCTGCCAAAAATGTAAATGATGCCAGATACAAATCTTTCTGCATGGCCTCGTCAGCTTTGCCAGAACTGTCCATTCCCCCAACAAGTGACGCCCTGTACCAACACTGCATGAGAGCAAACTACCAAGCAGCGGTGACGAAACATTCTCTGACTGGTAAAATCTGTGCCCCTTCACACATTGAGGATGGGGAGTTGGCAGTGACATGGATGACTACAAATCCTGCCCCTGATAGTGTTTTGCAGATAGTCCACTGTAGTTGCAAGACAACCAAATGTGAGACTGAACAATGTTCTTGTATGTCTGCAATACTGTCTTGTACAGATTTATGTCGGTGCCAAGCATGTGAGAATGCTTCAAAAGACACAGAAGAAAGAGCTGTATGGGATGATGACTCTGATGAAAGTGATCGTGATGCGTAATATACGCACCATGTCACCATGTACAGTTTGTTTTGTTTAAAGGATTGCTACACCAAGATTTGCGATTTTTATTATTTTTATATTTGTTCTACATTTGTCTGCGTTTGTGTTTTGATCTTTATTTTCATATTCTGGAGGGACTGATAAATGTCAGATGTTTTGACACTGTGAAACTTGAATAAATGTTTTATACCATATTTTGAATTAATCCAGACTTTTGGTGCATTTATTTTTGTCTTGTTACATTTTTTCCATTATTCCAATTTTGGGGGGCGTGGTAGCAATTCGATTGATTTTCAGCCATGTATGGCCATGGTGTGCTGTTTATACTTTAGAGACTCTGGCCATTTTTATAGAGTTAAATGCAAAAATTCCAAAATTTTCCCTATCTCACAATGATAAAGAATCCTTCAAAAAATTCCTGGATCCAGAAGGTGATCCGGATCAACACCAAAATGTAATGGGATCCTCCTGGGGCTGAGACGCACCTCTGGTGAAAATTTCAGTTCAATCCATCGGTAACTTTCTCCGTACAGTTTCTAACGGACAGACAAACAAACAAACAGACAAACAAACAAACAAGCAAACAAACCAACGCTACCAAAACCATAACCTCCTAGGCGGAGGTAACTAGCATCGCTGCTGCCAACAATCACAAACAAATGATGTGCACTCTTCCAAGTTGGCTGGGGGGATGCCAACATTACATGATTGTTCAACAGAAACACATTGTTGTTTTTTGGGGGGAAATAATCCACTCACTTAAAATTTCAGAATAGATGGTGAATGCAAAACAATTTCAAGCAGCGTGGAAGTCGTTAGTGTGCTGACATCAGTATGACCCTTAAGCTAGGGTAGCATCTTTGTGCTCAGGCAAGACCACAATAGTTGTCTGTTTTTTCCACAATAGCCTCACAGGCAGTTGGTGTGTATTTTGAACTCAGCCATTTAGCTCCCTGCATTGTTGCTCCATAGTTTAGCTCACTGAGTGTGAACAAAACAGGTCCCTCTGTAGGCTGTGAAGCCCCAGTGGCCTAATGGATAAGGCACTGGCCTCCTAAGCCAGGGATTGTGGGTTCGAGTCCCATCTGGGGTGATTTACAGCAGAGTGGCGCAGCGGAAGCGTGCTGGGCCCATAACCCAGAGGTCGATGGATCGAAACCATCCTCTGCTAATTTCTTTCTAACAGTTCATACAAACAAATCTATCAACACTTCCAAGTAGATAAGGGCAACTTCAAACTAGCATTGCTGCTGCCAACAATCACAAACAAATGATGTGCACTCTTCCAATGTGCCTTGCTGGATGCCAACATTACTTGTTTGTTCAGCAGAAACACATTAGGCCCCAACATGTTCACCACAGGACATGTGGAATCCAGGGAGTCAAAAGGTGCTGGAGCACTGAAAGAGTGAGGACCCTGTTGGCCAAACAACTGAAGACAAATTAATTTCTATTCTTTCTGATCCCTTTTTGTAGATGGTTTCCTTGTGAGGCAAAAATCAACTCCCTGTTGCTGCCCCCATCACAATGTGGTATTAAAAAAGTACTTTTGGACATGGTCAGGAATGACGGGTAGCCCTAAAATCTTAAGTGTGGAGTGTGCCTGTACATATCTTTATTTTTTTGGGAAAATAATCCACTCACTTAAAATTTCAGGATATATAGTGAATGCAAAACAATTTCAAGCAGGGTGGAAGTCGTTTGTGTGCTGACATCAGTATGACCCTTAAGCTAGGGTAGCATCTTTGTGCTCAGGCAAGACCACAATAGTTGTCTGTTTTTTCCACAATAGCCTCACAGGCAGTTGGTGTGTATTTTGAACTCAGCCATTTAGCTCCCTGCATTGTTGCTCCGTAGTGTAACTCACTGAGTGTGGACAAAACAGGTCCCTCTGTAGGCTGTGAAGCCCCAGTGGCCTAATGGATAAGGCACTGGCCTCCTAAGCCAGGGATTGTGGGTTCGAGTCCCATCTGGGGTGATTTACAGCAGAGTGGCGCAGCGGAAGCGTGCTGGGCCCATAACCCAGAGGTCGATGGATCGAAACCATCCTCTGCTAATTTCTTTCTAACAGTTCATACAAACAAATCTATCAACACTTCCAAGTAGATAAGGGCAACTTTAAACTAGCATTGCTGCTGCCAACAATCACAAACAGATGATGTGCACTCTTCCAATGTGCCTTGGGGCATGCCAACATTACTTGTTTGTTCAGCAGAAACACGTTAGGCCCCAACATGTTCACGACAGGACATGTGGAAGCCATGAGCCAAGCAGTGCTGGAGCTATGGATGAGTGAGGACCCTGTTGGCCAAACAGCTGAAGAAAAATTAATTTCTATTCTTTCTGATCCCTTTTTGTAGATGGTTTCCTTGTGAGGCAAAAAATCAACTCCCTGTTGCTGCCCCCATCACAATGTGGTATTAAAAAAGTACTTTTGGACATGGTCAGGAAAGACGGGTAGCCCTAAAATCTTAAGTGTGGAGTGTGCCTGTGCATGTTGTTGTTTTTTTGGGGGGAAATAATCCACTCACTTAAAATTTCAGGATATATAGTGAATGCAAAACAATTTCAAGCAGGGTGGAAGTCGTTTGTGTGCTGACATCAGTATGACCCTTAAGCTAGGGTAGCATCTTTGTGCTCAGGCAAGACCACAATAGTTGTCTGTTTTTTCCACAATAGCCTCACAGGCAGTTGGTGTGTATTTTGAACTCAGCCATTTAGCTCCCTGCATTGTTGCTCCATAGTTTAGCTCACTGAGTGTGGACAAAACAGGTCCCTCTGTAGGGTGTGAAGCCCCAGTGGCCTAATGGATAAGGCACTGGCCTCCTAAGCCAGGGGTTGTGGGTTCGAGTCCCATCTGGGTTGATTTACAGCAGAGTGGCGCAGCGGAAGCGTGCTGGGCCCATAACCCAGAGGTCGATGGATCGAAACCATCCTCTGCTAATTTCTTTCTAACAGTTCATACAAACAAATCTATCAACACTTCCAAGTAGATAAGGGCAACTTCAAACTAGCATCGCTGCTGCCAACAATCACAAACAAATGATGTGCACTCTGCCAATGTGCCTTGGGGGATGCCAACATTACTTGTTTGTTCAGCAGAAACACATTAGGCCCCAACATGTTCACCACAGGACATGTGGAATCCAGGGAGTCAAAAGGTGCTGGAGCACTGAAAGAGTGAGGACCCTGTTGGCCAAACAACTGAAGACAAATTAATTTCTATTCTTTCTGATCCCTTTTTGTAGATGGTTTCCTTGTGAGGCAAAAATCAACTCCCTGTTGCTTCCCCCATCACAATGTGGTATTAAAAAAGTACTTTTGGACATGGTCAGGAAAGACGGGTAGCCCTAAAATCTTAAGTGTGGAGTGTGCCTGTACATATCTTTATTTTTTTGGGAAAATAATCCACTCACTTAAAATTTCAGAATAGATGGTGAATGCAAAACAATTTCAAGCAGCGTGGAAGTCGTTAGTGTGCTGACATCAGTATGACCCTTAAGCTAGGGTAGCATCTTTGTGCTCAGGCAAGACCACAATAGTTGTCTGTTTTTTCCACAATAGCCTCACAGGCAGTTGGTGTGTATTTTGAACTCAGCCATTTAGCTCCCTGCATTGTTGCTCCGTAGTGTAGCTCACTGAGTGTGGACAAAACAGGTCCCTCTGTAGGCTGTGAAGCCCCAGTGGCCTAATGGATAAGGCACTGGCCTCCTAAGCCAGGGATTGTGGTTTCGAGTCCCATCTGGGGTGATTTACAGCAGAGTGGCGCAGCGGAAGCGTGCTGGGCCCATAACCCAGAGGTCGATGGATCGAAACCATCCTCTGCTAATTTCTTTCTTACAGTACATACAAACAAATCTATCAACACTTCCAAGTAGATAAGGGCAACTTCAAACTAGCATCGCTGCTGCCAACAATCACAAACAAATGATGTGCACTCTTCCAATGTGCCTTGGGGGATGCCAACATTACTTGTTTGTTCAGCAGAAACACATTAGGCCCCAACATGTTCACCACAGGACATGTGGAATCCAGGGAGTCAAAAGGTGCTGGAGCACTGAAAGAGTGAGGACCCTGTTGGCCAAACAGCTGAAGACAAATTAATTTCTATTCTTTCTGATCCCTTTTTGTAGATGGTTTCCTTGTGAGGAAAAAATCAACTCCCTGTTGCTGCCCCCATCACAATGTGGTATTAAAAAAGTACTTTTGGACATGGTCAGGAATGACGGGTAGCCCTAAAATCTTAAGTGTGGAGTGTGCCTGTACATATCTTTATTTTTTGGGGGAAATAATCCTCTCACTTAAAATTTCAGAATAGATGGTGAATGCAAAACAATTTCAAGCAGCGTGGAAGTCGTTTGTGTGCTGACATCAGTACGACCCTTAAGCTAGGGTAGCATCTTAGTGCTCAGGCAAGACCACAATAGTTGTCTGTTTTTTCCACAATAGCCTCACAGGCAGTTGGTGTGTATTTTGAACTCAGCCATTTAGCTCCCTGCATTGTTGCTCCATAGTTTAGCTCACTGAGTGTGAACA